CTGTATATTACATCCTCATGGCTTATTTATTTTATAACTGGAGGTTTGTACCTCTTACTCCCCTCAGTATTTCACTCCCTGCCACCCTCCTCCCTTCTGGCATCCACCTGTTTGTTCTCTGTAATTATGACTCTCTTTTTATTTTTTTGTTGTTATTTTTAAAAATATTTATTTATGTATTTATTTATTTGGCTGCACTGGGTCTTAGCTGCGGCATGTGGGATCTAGTTCACTGACCAGGGATTGAACCCGGGCCCCCTGCATTGGGAGTCTTAGCCAGTGGACTACCAGGGAAGTCCCTATTTCGTTTTGTTTTGTTTTTTAGATTCTACATATAAGTGAGGTCATACGGCATTTGTCCTTCTCTGTCTGACTTATTTCACTTAGCATAATACCCTGTAGATCCATCCATGTTGTGACAAATGGCAAGGTTTCATTTTTTTATGGCTGAGTAATATTCCTTTGTACATATATACCATATCTTTATCCATTCATCTATCATGGACACTTAGGTGGTTTACATATCTTGGCTACTGTAAATAATGCTGCAGTGAACATTGGAGTGCATATATCTTTTCAAATTATTGTTTTTGTTTTCTTCAGGTAAATACCCAGAAGTGAAATTGTTGGATCATATGGTAGTTCTATTTTTAATTTTGGGGGGAACCTCCATACTGTTTTCCATAGTGGCTGCATCAATTTACAATCCAACTGATAATTCACAAGTGTTCCCTTTTCTCCACATTCTCACCAACATTTGTTATTTGTTGTCCTTTTGATGATAGCCATTCTGACAATTGTGCCTTTAATTTGTATCTCCCTTATGATGAGTGATGTTGAGCATCTTTTCTTGTGCCTGTTGGCCGTCCATGTGTCTTCTTCAGAAAAATGTCTATTCAGGTCCTCTGCCCATTTTTTAATCGGGTTGTTTTGTTTTGGTTTTTTTCTTCGTTGAATTGTATGAGTTCTTTGTATATTTTGGATATTAACCCCTTATCAAATATATTGTTTGCAAATATCTTCTCCCATTTAGGCTGTCTTTGTTTTGTTGATAGTTTCTTTTGATGTGCAAAAGCTTTTTAGTTCGATGTAGTCCCATTTGTTTATTTTTGCTTTTGTTTCCCTTTCCAGGAGACAGATCCAAAAAAATATTACTAAGACCTATGTCAAAGAGCATACTGCCCATGTTTTCTTCTAGGAGTTTTATGGTTTTAGGTCTTATATTTAAGTCTTAATCCATTGTGAGTTTATTTTGTATATGGTGTGAGAAAGTAGTCCAGTTTGATTCTTTTGCATGTAGCTGTCCAGTGTTCCCAGCAGCATTTTTGAAAAGCTTGTCTTTTCCCCATTGTATATTCTTGCCTCTGTTGTTGTAGATTGATTGTATTAGCAAGGGTTTATTTCTGGGCTCTATATACTCTTCCATTGATCTATGTGTCTGTTTTTGTTCCAGTACCATACTTTGCTTTATTGGTTTTTTTTTTTTTAATTTTTAAAATTTATTCATCAATTATTTTTGGCTGTGTTGGGTCTTTGTTGCTGCGTGCGGGCTTTCTCTAGTTGTGGCTAGTGGGGCTACTCTTTGTTGCGGTGCGCATGCTTCTTATTGCAGTGGCTTCTCTTGTTGCGGACCACAGACTCCAGGCACGCGCACAAGGGCTCAGTAGTTGTGGCTCACAGGCTCCAGAGCGCAGGCTCAGTAGTTGTGATGCACAGGCTTAGTTGCTCTACAGCATGTGGGATCTTCCTGGACCAGGGCTCGAACCCATGTCTCCTGCATTGGCAGGTGGATTCTTAACCACTGCACCACCAGGGGAGCTCAGTTTTTTTGTTTTTTAATACACTTTATTTTGGAACAATTTAGATTTACAGAAAAATTGAGAAGATAGCACAGGGTTTCCCTGTATCTCACACCCAGGTTCCCCCATTATAAATATCTTACATTGTATGGTATACATTTGTTACAATTAATGAACCAGCATTGGTATATTATTATTAACTAAAGTTCATATTTTATTCAGAATTCCTTGGTTTTTACCTCATGTCCTCTTTTTCTTCCAGGATCCCACCCAGGATACCACATTACATTTAATTGTCATGTCTCCTTAGGCTCCTCTTGGCTGTGGCAGTTTTTCAGACTTTCCTTGTTTTTGATGATCTTGACAGTTTTGAGGAGTACTGGGCCAGCATTTTGTAGAATGTCTCTCAGTTGGAACTTTTCCGATGTTTTTCTCATGATTAGGCTGGAGTTCTTCAGAGATAAAATGTCACTCTCATCACATCACATCAAGGGTACATACTATCAACTTGACTTATCAATGTTGATCTTAATCTTGATCACCTGCTTGAGGGAGCATTGTCAGGATTCTCCACTGTAAAGTTATTTTTTTCCCCACCCTTTTCAGACTATCCTCTTTGCAAGGAAATCACTATGCACAGCCCACAAGAGTGCTGGTTTACACCCCTCCTTGAGGGTGGAGTATCTACATACATTATTTGGAATTCTTCACAGGAGATTTGGCTATTATCCCTCATTTATTTATATATTCAATCATTTATATCAGAATAGACTAGCAGCTATTTATTTTATACTTTGGGTTATAATCCAATACTGGTTTATTTTGTCGGTCCAATTGTCCCAGATTTGGCCTTTGGAAGCTCTTTCAGTTGGCCCCTGTGTCCTCTAACTTATCTCCACCTTCCTGTTGTTTTGTTTGTTTGTTTAGCACTTCCTTACTTTCTGTGCTACAAAATGTTCCAGGCTCATCTTGTATATTTCCTACCCCAATCCTAAAATCAATCATTTCTCCAAGGAGAAAGTCAAGGCGTTTTAGTCTTAGCAAATGTGTATCTGACTGGAAGTTGGGACAATCTGTCAGGTGGATGGGAATAAGACTCAAGCCACCCTCGGGAGGGGACTCTCCCAGCAGCAGCAGCCAGAATTACAAGCCCTTAGCTGAGAAATAGATGACTCACCAGCTCCCCAGGTTGTCTCCTCCCTCCCCCTCTTGCTGACAAGACTGTCCCTAAACCAGCTCTGACAGAAGGACCTAGGTTCGAAAGTGTCCCCACCCAAGGGGCCAGTGAAGAATGGCCTGTTGCAGGCCAAGTTAGGGCTTTAACCATAGCCAGCTGATACCTCCCCCCATTTGTGTATTTGTGTATTATTTATACCCCTTCTACCTGCAGAAAGAATTAAACAGGATTACCCTCAAATTTCAGCTACAATAAAACTATTAAAGCTTGGGTAAAAGGACAAGAGTGCTGTGAAGAACATTTGTGTGTGTGTGTGTGTGTGTGTGTGTGTTGTGTTGGGTGTGTATGTGTGTGTGTTAATTTTGTCCCAGACACCTGGGCTGAGGCAACTTCCCCAGGTTCCCTGAATAACAGATTGCTAGCACCAGAAGGACTTTAAGAAATAAATATGCTTCACCTGGCATTTTATAGCTGAGATGGAGCAAGTGATTTCTCAGGAATCACACAGCTAATGAGCTGAAGAAGTAGGAATACTGGGACACGTCTCTTGATGTCTAGGTCTTTTCATATCCCCATTCTTGCCTCCCTTTCCAGGAGAGCAAAAAGAACAGCTTTGAGACCTCCTGGGTGATACAATGGCAAGACAACACTTTGAGGCTTCTTTCACTTGCTAGATGAATAAACTTATGTGGATCTGTCTGAGAAGTCATTGGGGGCTATAGTTAGGGGTTATTAGCATCCCCAGACACTCGGACATAGGGAATGTAGGATGTAGACATTGGGATGCAGAAGTGGATACTGGGGTTCCTACCATTTCCCCACAGTCAAGCTTTAAATGGTTAAATCAGCAATGTTCTAGTTGTCCTCAACTTTTGACCAACAGTGGGGGAAAAAAAGAAAAATAAATAAAAACCAGGGGACCTGAGACTTTTTTCAAGAGATTTAGAGATTTTGACTTAGGGATTTTTATACTACCAACTGTTTAAGAAATTGGATTATCTCTTTTCTTTAATATTCACTGCCCTATCTGCCTCCCAACACTCTCCCTTCAACAACTCATGTATGAAGTGTTTTCAGTGATCTTTGTGTAGGCTGAGATCTTTGTACAGGCTTGGAATTCAGAGAAAGGATTCTGGGCCTGGTGTCACTTGGTGTGGCTGCAATAAAGAGATGAAATTAGCATCAGGCTATTTTTCACTTGCTCTCTTGGTGACCTTCTTAGGGCTACCTGGGATATCATGTCTCTGTCTGTAAACTCCTTCTAAGGCAAGGACAGTGGGTGGCCCAGAACAGCATCAGCAAATAGGTAATTATTATGTGCTTTAGATGATGATGATGATGAAGCTAATATTAGGAACTTTGGGGATTTAGAAAATATTCAATTGGAGGACTGTCCTTGAAGATCCTCCCCAGCTAGCTTCTCCAGCACCCTGAGTTCCTTTAGAGGAGCAGAGTGAAGGTGTTTAAAGCCTGCCTTCAGGCTGAGTCTAGAGGAAGCTCTTCGGTGGAAGGGGGTCGTTACATTCCTGCCTGCTGAGTTCACGCCTGTGTTTATCTTCGGCCTCTTCATGATCTCTGTATTTAAAAAAAATAATTCGTTAATTAATACAATTATTATCCAGACTTTTTTATACTCTTACAAACATATGTCTAGTTTTTTGTTTTAATTTGAACAAAGGTTTAATTTGAACATGCTGCATTATGTGTTTGCAATTTGCTTCTTCCTCCTAACAATAAATCCTGGATATCTTTCTCTGCCAAGATACTAGATCTGCCTCATTTGGGCGAGTCTTTGTCCTCGCACCTGTGTGATTCTCCGAGCGTCAGTTTTCGGCCTGCCTCTCTTTCTCGGGGTGTGAGAGATTGCCTGACCTCTTGCGGTGCGCTGCAGAGGGAAGTCCTAGAGGAGGCCTGGAGGGTGGGCGGGGCCCGAGGCCGAAAGGGATATGCAGATGAGGTAGGCGGGGCCCCCACTTATACCCGCGAGTAGCTGCTGGCGGTTGAGCCGGGTCTCGGCAGATTCAGTCAGAGGCGGTCTACGGACCCTGCTTCACCGAGCACAGCGGAGCCTGGTCCCCGGCTGTCCCGGGAGCGGGCCATGCCCCCGCGGGAGCTAAGCGAGGCCGAGTCGTCCCCGCTCCGGGCCCCGACCCCTCCGTCCCGGCGGGGCAGCGCGTCCCCAGAGCTGGGCATCAAGTGCGTGCTGGTGGGCGACGGCGCAGTGGGCAAGAGCAGCCTCATCGTCAGCTACACCTGCAATGGGTACCCCGCGCGCTACCGGCCCACAGCGCTGGACACCTTCTCCGGTAATTTCAACGGCCCCGGCGGCCGCGTGGCCGGGGGTGGGGTTGTGCACCCGGGTCTGGGGCTGGCGCTGAGGCGCGAGTGCACTGAAACCGCCCGGGAGGCTGACGGGAGCAGGCCCCGAGGTGGCGCTGGTGAGGCCTGGTGGGATCCTGGACGCTGTAACTCAGACTTTCCCCTGCCCCTCCTCTGCAGTGCAAGTCCTGGTTGACGGAGCCCCGGTGCGCATTGAGCTCTGGGACACAGCGGGACAGGTGAGAGGAGTCGGGAGCGGCCTCTGCTGGTCTGGGTGAGGTGGGCTGGAGGCTGGGAGGACCCCAGATCCATCAGGAATGGAGAAGGCCTTGGGCCCTTAGTTACGAGTCTCAGTCTCCAACCTCAGGTGACAAGCGGATTCCCGCGTCCAGGGGCAGGGAATAAGCCTACTAATGGCCTGGCCTTTCCATCCCAGGAAGACTTTGATTGCCTTCGCTCCCTCTGCTACCCGGATACGGATGTCTTCCTGGTCTGCTTCAGCGTGGTGCAGCCCAGCTCCTTCCAAAACATCACAGAGAAATGGCTGCCAGAGATCCGCACTCACAACCCCCAGGCGCCCGTGCTGCTGGTGGGCACGCAGGCCGACCTGAGGGACGATGTCAATGTACTGATTCAGCTGGACCAGGGAGGCCGGAAGGGCCCTGTGCCTCAACCCCAGGCTCAGGGTCTGGCTGAGAAGATCCGGGCCTGCTGCTACCTGGAGTGCTCTGCCTTGACGCAGAAGAACTTGAAGGAGGTGTTTGACTTGGCCATTCTCAGTGCCATTGAGCACAAAGCCCGGCTGGAGAAGAAACTGAACGCCAAAGGTGTGCGCACCCTCTCCCGCTGCCGCTGGAAGAAGTTCTTCTGCTTTGTTTGAAGAGCTGTGGCAGCAAAATGATCAGTAGGCCAATGGCCACAGACCTCTAGAACCTGGGGCACTGGGCCTTTGAGGTACCTGCTGGCAGGGCCAGGTCACCCCCATGGGACTCAGTTCCCATCTGAACACTGTGGCAACACAGCCTCCAACTGCCCACTCTTATGTGCCAGGGTGAGCCTAGGGCCTGGAGGAGGGAAGGCTCTGACTTGGATTTCTGTGGATTTCTCTGACTTGGATTTCTCAAGTACAGAAAAATCCCAGTACTTTGATTTTCATGGGATGATCCTAACAGTGTCAACTCCCTCCAAGTAGTTTGGGATCCAATACCCAGTTTCTTCTCATGGGCCCTCAGGTCAATCTGGCTGAATTAGGACCACTCCTGGTGGTCCCCACCCTCTCCTTGGCACAGGGGTGAGGAAGAGCCTGGGGAACAGCTGGGCATCTTGGAGGGCTGGAAGGCGTCCGGCCCTGAATTGGAGAGAAGTTTAGGATGGATTGGGTAAGACGGAGGTCAGTGAGAGATTGAGAGGGGTCCGAAAGTAAAGGCTTGGAGCCTTGGGACTGGAGGCAGGCTGGGGAGGAGGAGGCAGACGAGAGGGCTAGGCTTGGAAGGAGGAAGAGAAAGAAGGAGAGCAGAGAAGTGGGGCAGCTGAGGAGCAAGGCTGCCACCTGGGCTGCCCTCAACCCCTAAGGCCAGGGAGGGTAGGGCTGGTCCCTGGGAAGTGCTGGGTTTCAGTGCTCCCTAGGCACTGCCCAAACTGGCTAGGCTGGGAGCAGGGCAGGAAGTGAGAGACAAGGCCCAGCAAGAGGAGGGGGAGGAGCTGCAAATTGGAGCCTGAAGGAAGAAGGGGCTTTCTCCAAGGTCACATCCTAGAAGATAAGGCAGTGCAGAGTCTGCAAATAAAGCCTTAAGTTTCTGAAGCTGCTGTCTCTGTGTCATTTCCTGCAGGAGTCAGCACACTGGTCCCTCAAGGCCCAACAGTTTGGATGGAGGCAGGTTGAGTACCAAAGGAATGAGGCTAGATCGAAAGGTGCGGGCTGGACTAGATGGGACAGTGTGATGGGAACTGGACTGGGGGTGGCAGGTTGGGGGCTCCCCCCTTGGGGCTTAGCTGGTTCCCAGGAAAGCTAGCGTGGGAAGCAGCCTGGAAATGGGTTTCCCCAGGTGTCAGCGCCAGAGCTGCTTTCCCATGACCTCACCAGGCGGGTGGTGCCCCTCCCCTCTCCCCCTCCCTTCTAGAGCACAGTGCTCAGCGCTGGGCTCTGGGGCAATCCTGAGCCTTCTAACCTTCCTGCTCTGATCCTTCCAACAGTCCGCAGGGCCCAGGGTCTCAGGTTGGAGTGGCCCTCTGGTTCAGACTCTGAGCATGAAGGGACCCTCATATACAGCTTAAACCACAACCACTGGCCAAACTTCTTGGACTTGAGTTGGTTGGACCCAGTCTTCAGCCTTAGCACTCAAAGTCCACATAAGGACCCAGTGAAGGTCAGGATGCCAGTTGTCAACAACTTAAATAGAAGTTTGGTCCCAGAAATCCTTTGAGAGTGAGCATTCATTGATTGAGGACTTGGAGAGGAGCAGGGATCCAGAGAACATTCCCTGGAATTGGAGCTGGTGGGAACTTTAATGGGCACATTTGTTGGGGGCGGGGGGCACAACTTTATTTTACCCATAAGGAAAGAGAGGCTCTGAGAAAAATGGTAATATCGCAAGTGAGCTATTATTACTAAGTGGCTACAGGAGCACTTTGCAAACTCCAGAGTAGGTACATGGGTAAGTGTTATTCGTGTGGAGAGGTATTTCCTGGGACACCTGGAACACCTGCTAGGCAACTAATGGGCCAGGTGAGCACTCTGTCCCTGCGCAGCTCCCTCTGCAGGAAGTTGTGTATGTGAGAAAGAGCACATGGCTGAGGGACAGAAATCCTAGCCAAGTGAAACCTCAGATAATCCCCAAGTTTAGTTTTAGCCAAGACTGTCCAAATTCTGTCCCACCTGGGCCCACCCACCAGAACTCCAGCCACCTGTCTCCTTTTGTCCCCTTGCCCCCTCAGGTGGAGGTGCTGAGCTGCACCATTGCAGCCAGGTCTTGATGGGGATCTCACACCCCTGCTCCGTGGCCTGCCGTTACCTCAACCCAGCCTGACACACTCCCTTCCTGGTTCAAGTTCAGGCTCTAGCATCAACCATGACCTTAGGCAATTTTTTTTTCTTCTCTGTGCCTCAGTTTCCTCATTTGCAAAATGAAACACTCAAGACTCTGGATTAGAGGTTTTCAGACTGCTCCCAGGGGACTTAGAGGTGCCATGGGTCAGGGGAGGAAGCCTCATTAGGTGATCTTTGGGCCGCCCCACCTCCAACTACTTCCCTAATTCTCTAATGGTACCAGCACATCCATGTCACTATGTCTCCTCTCCTGCTGGGTCACTGAGCCTTAGCAGCCTCGCTCCTACATCTCTGCCACTGCCGCTTCCCACTCCAGTCCCCCTAGCGCTGCTTCCTTATCCTCTGGCACCTCCCTGACTCAAGACTGTTACTACCTCTCATTGCCTGCAGTGAACTCCCAACTTCTCATTTAAGCGCTCAGGACCTCAAATCTGACACCAACCCGGACAAGGCCAGTTTGTCCCAGTGTTCCCCACTCCCTGATCCCCAATAAATTTTTACTTCTGACTCCAAGTCTTTGCTTTTGCCAAATCCTCTAGAAAGTGCCCCCACCTCCCCCCACCCCCGCAATCCCCCAGATGCCCTGTTTCTCCTTTAACCATCTTCCAAACAATACTCCCCTTCTCCAGGACCTGTATTACTGTCCGCACTGCTCTTTTGGCACATTGAAGGGACACCGAATTTGGTCACTTGCTCAGGCTACATCTCTCCAGCTAAACAGACAGAGAAAAAGTCCTACTCATGCCCATGTGCTCCCACAGGGTCTTGAGCTCAGGCAATGTTTGCTGCTGGCCATTAAGTGCCTAAGATAAAAAAGCCAAGCAGTGTGCCCTGTAGGGGACCCTGAGGATAAAGTTCTTCTCCAGTTTTGTGTCACTTAGGCCTGAAGACAGCCCTAAAGAGCAATGGCTTGCTGGAAAGGCCCTCTGAGGCACGGGGGCCCAAGCCCGTGCAGAGCAAAAGGGATTTACCTCTGGCTCCAAAACCATTGTCTCATTCCGCTGTTTCTCTCTATAATGCGGCCTCTCTCTACTTTTCTGGGACTGTTTTTACCTCTTTATCTCTTTCATTTGCCTCTTTTCCCCTGCTTTCTCTGCTCTTGAATCTAAATTTAAAGGAACATTGATTATATTAAATGGACAAAAGTGTATGTTTCTTACATATTCAGTCTTACATTAGTGCTTATTAATGTAAATTATTTTTAATATCTCTGTAACCAACTCTTAGCTGATTTTTTAAAATGTCTATTTTCTTTTTCCATAATAAATGCTTATAGAAAAACTGGAAAATCTGAAGAACTAGAAGATTGAAAATGTACTAATAGTCTTTTTTTTAAATTTTATTTACTTATTTTTGGCTGCATTGGGTCTTCGTTGCTGCACGCGGGCACAAGCTACTCTTCGTTGCAGTGCGTGGGCTTCTCATTGCGGTGGCTTCTTTTGTTGCAGAGCACGGGCTCTAGAGCGCAGGCTCAGTAGTTGTGGTGCACAGGCTTAGTTGCTCCTCAGCATGTGGGATCTTCCTGGACCAGGGCTTGAACCTGTGTCCACTGCATTGGTAGGCGGATTCTTAACCACTGCGCCACCAGAGAAGGCCAGTAATAATATTTTGATGTACTTCCTTTCAGTCTTTTCTTCTACGCATATTTTTGAAATATTTCTTGTGATTATGCTGTATATACAATTTTGTATTTAGGTTTTTTTTTTTTTAATTTTAACCGTTTTTTCATGTCGTTATTAACTCTGACCAGAATCTGTAACCATATATGTATGTTTGTTTACTATTTCACCCTGACCATAATTTCTTCAACTAGATCCCCATTGGGGGCATTTAGGTTGTTTTCCTTTAAATAGTTTTTTTCTTTTATAAATGAGACTATATCCACAGTTGATTATTTTTTCCACCATGAGTTGGTGACCATCTACAAAAAAAAATGTCCTTCATCTTTGGCCTGGAGACAGGGCCCCCATATATATAATCCCAAGTGGCACTTATGATGGAACTTGAGTTTCTGTGTCTGTGTGACTCGTGGGGGGCTCTTTCTGTTGGTGCATGACTAGCAGATTGTGGGTGTTCAATAAATACTAACTGATGACAAGGTGTGTATATATGACATATTGGTGTTCATGTACATTCCTCTGTGTCCCTGTTTTTGCTCTTGTGTCCCTGTTTTTGCTCTTGTGTCCCTGTTTTTGCTCTTGTGTATTTCAAGTGGGTATTACCTTTGTGCAAACCTCTGAATCATTCCATGTCTGTGTATCCATGTCTGTAAATGTGGGTGTCTAGGTGAGATGTGTATAGCTCTGAACGTGTATGTCTGTGTAGCCACACAATGTCTGCCCTTAGGAGTGTGTATTATACACAACTCTGTGTGTGTGTCTGGGTGTGTGAGTTGGTCTCTGTGCCTGTAGGTGCACATCTAGGTTGGACCTCATTTCTTGGGGGCTGTATGTCTATGTGTCTGTGTGTGCCCAGGTTCAGTTCTGTGTGGGTCTGTGTGAGGGGTCTCTCTCCACGTGCATCTTCTGGGCATGCGTGCTAGGCTGGTGTGTAAGTGTGTGCACAGCTGAGGGAGCTGGGCCTGGCTTGCTTCCCCCCTGGGAGCAGAGTGGTGCCCAGGGCAGAGGTGACACACCCTCTGAGCTCCTCATTTTCCTGGGAACCAGCCTGGGAGAGTGAGTGAGACCGAGAGCAGTCTGCATCAGGAGCACCGGCCCCTTTTGCAACCAGCCCAGGCCCCAGGCGGGAACCAGGCTCTCACAGGTCAGACCTGCCCACTGTGCCTGGCTGCCAGGAAACCCAGCTCCCAGCAGGGCTGCACTGTCAGAGCCCTCCTTGGGCCTGGGCCAAATCCTCCGGTGAGTGGAACTCAGCCAGCAGAGGAACCACATTAGTCATGCTATGGCAACAGTAGGGAGTGACTTCCCAGGCCTGGGCAGTGCTGGCTGTCCCAGGAAACCACTGCTTTCTGTCCCTGTACGTGGCAATGCTTAGGCAGCCTGGTCTCCTCCATTATCGCCTTCCATTCTTACAACTGAACTTCATGATGGGCCAGACGGCTCTTATTAACTCCAATTTTCAGATGAGGAGACTGAAGCACAGAGCCACACGACCAAGGTGAAGCAGATGGGGCTTGCACCTGGGTCCTGACCCTGGGTCCAGGCTTCTTTCTGGTGTGTCACCTGGGGGGTTCTGCCCCCTAGAAATGGGCCTCTCAGAGGGCAGGGCTGGGAGGCATAGTTTAGGGGACAGATTAGGTTTTCCTAGGCTCGGGAGCAGGGCAGAGGGAGACAGGGCTGGAAGTGGGATGTGACGAGAGATGTTAGCATTGAACCAGGCCTGCCCTCCTAGTGGAATGTTCCCAAGGCTTCCTCCACTGAACAGATTTGTTCCCTAATTGGGATGATAATGGAATTCATTGTCAGACTCAGGATAGTTTTGAGATTGTATGCAAACTCTATTAATAACCTGGGTTTATGGTCACCCTACACATAACCCCTCTGGAAGGCAGAGCCAGTCACTGGCCTCCTTGACTCGCCAGCTCTGTGGCTTCCTTGACCCCTGCCTGCACCAATCTGCTTCTGTCCCCAGGTGTCCAGATGACTCCCTGGCCCCTTGGCAGTGAGGGGCAGCAGGGGAGCTTTGGGCACTGTGCTGCATAGGGATTCCCTGGGACCCCTTGAATCTGGCAGAAAAGCAAGTAGCCTGACCCAAGATTAGTTTCCCCCTCAGATCTGTATTCTCTGTGACCATGT